GAAACTCCAGGGAATTTCCCAAATCCATACTAAAAGAAAAGGTTAGGCTGTTCAATTCTGGGAAGACTTGTCAAGCAACCGTAGGTGAACAAACAAGAAATTCCATGGAGCTGTGCCACACACACGGGGACCCCCTTGTAGCCTACAGAACAAGGGGTATCACTCAGGCTCCCATGCTGTTCCCTATAGCAGGACAGCTCATGGCAGTGGTCAGACATAGAGTGGGAGGGTCTTCAGGTAGTGTGTAACTCCATCCACACATACCTTCCAACCCTTCACTCCTAAAGTCATCCGTCCATTCTTGTCTTCCTCAAACATCCACCAAACATTTATCCACCCAACATTTCCTTTGCCTCGTCATCCATATACCTATTCACTCATTCATTATCCATTTATTAATCCATCCTGCACTGCCTTAGACATTGACCATTCATTCATCCACTCAATATTTTATTGGCCCACTCATCTATATACCCATTCAATCCATCCATCCATCCATCCACCCATCCATTCATTCCTACATCTGTTTATCCACTCCTCAACCATTCACCAACCATTCAGTCCTCTGCCCACTCATTTATCCACCTAAACTTTTATTTACCTACTTATCCATAGACACATTCGTCCATCCCAGAAATGGGACTTATTGACTCACAGTGGGTTTTGGGAGGGAGGCAAAATTGAACAACAAACAATGATAGTGTAGAAATATATTGGCTATGGTAGGATGGACCAAAGGAAGAAGTTAACTCTGCACACCGGAATGTTTATTCTTTTTTCTTTTTCTTTTTACTGGAACATAATTGATTGTATATACCTGTGGGGTACAGCATTGAATATCAATACCTGTGTGCAATATGTGATGCTCAAGTCAGGGTAATTAGTACACATAATGTTTGTTCTTATTCTTTATTTCGTCCATCCATTTATCCATCCATCCACCCATCCGCCCTTTCCATGCACTTATCCATCCATTCAACTTCCCTTCCACCCTCCCACCTATTTA